AGGCGCCCAAGATGCTAAAAGACTTTTTTGTCTCTATCATAAATGAACGTCCTTCCATTATCCATTCTATTAAAACAGGAGCCTTCATCATTTCTGGTATGTGTTATACACCAAACGTGGTATACGGCATTCATGTTTCAATTATTAACTAAAAACAATAATTGGTTTCAGGTTTACATATGTCGCCGATTATAATGGATTGTCCCGCTGGCTCCATTTGCTGTATAACTCAATCCGAACGAGCCTCGTTCCCCCTTGCTCCAACAGTTTGTGCCACCCAGCTTATTCCTATAATTGAACTTGTGTATCGCACACGTCTTTATTTGATGGAGACTGTGGAAGCTATTGATGGATGTAATCAAGTGGTGTCACTAGGCAAAAAAAACAAAAAGTGAGTTTTAGTTCCACCTTGTATCACAAGTCCTGAAAGCTCATCATCATCCACTACAGTGACTACAACAACAACCGAAATTGAAGATGAAAATCAAAACGAAAATGGCTATAATTCATCTGCCTCCAGCCAGCCCTCAACAAAAATACAAAGACAATAAGGATCTGATGGGGACCGGCTATGGTTATGATGATTTTAATGCGATCTAGTAACCCTAGATGACTTATTAGCTAAGATATACCAGGATAGCCAAATTAATTTTTATTGAAATAATTCATGCATGAATGTCTTGGCATGCATACATTTAAATTTTTGAAAAAAATAAAAATTGAATTTTTTTTTAATATAAAAATAACACCACAGAATATAAAGCAAAGTATATTTGTTATATTTTTTATTTTTATTACTTCAACAATCGACATGAACCAACTCAACCTTCTCGCATTCTTAGCTATTATGGCTGAATTTGTTCCTATTTTAGGAATTACATTGACACTCTTAATTGAAAGAGCAAAACACCTTGCTGAAAACCATCAGCATATTGAGTATGAACCTCTTATCACACAACTGAGGTCAGAACTCGAAAAAGACCTTACACAGGCTAAAGTAGATAAAAAAACTAAAGATAATGCATGCAATAAAATAATTGGAAGAATTCGAGAATATGTAAGATTCCTCAAATCCTCAAATCCTCAATTTTCCGATGCAATGTTAGAGGGTAACACCTCTGGTGCAGATTCCTCGCAGGGCGGCAAAGAATTCCGATTCCAAAACACTAAAGGGCTGTTCACATATATTTGTAAGGACTTCTATTTAACAAAAGAGCAAATCATGGAATGGTTTATAAAACATGAACGTATTGGTTATCGAATTGAAAAGGCAATTGCATGTGATGAAATTGCACCAGAAACCAATGAGAAACATGTACACATATGGATACAAATGGATGAGCGGTTCGACACAAAAACAGCACATAAATTCTTTACTATTGATGGTGTTACTCTAAATATTAAACCAGGTGGTAATCCACAAAAGTCTATTAGCTATTGTATGAAAGGAAAAGATTATATTTGTTATAATATGGATCTAAATTATGAAATTAAAACCAGAAAAATACACCAACAGTTACTTGGATATCAATTAATTACTAAGCAGCTTAATATGTGGAAGGCTACCGAAATATATCCAGAATTGCTATGGAAATATGATACTGTAAAATCAAATTTAAATTCTTACTTTCATGATGCAGATATGGAAAATAACCCTGGAAATAAATTACATATGTGGTATATGTTTGGTATTGAAACAATGTTTGGTAGCAAAAATAAGATACCACAATACGGGATTGTAGGTCCATCAAATGTAGGTAAGATATATAACACTGATGTATTAGAACAAGGTGGTCATCAAGCATATCTAATAAATAAAGAAAATGATTGATCAGATTATAAGGATGATGATTATGATTTTATGTATAATGAAGAAACAGGTTCTGATTTCAAATTAACATTTTTAAACCAAATGTTAGAAGGAACATGGTTAAAACTTAATGGCAAATTCACAAAGTCAATAACTAAAAAGAAAAATATGCCAATAATACTGAATAGTAACTATATGCCGCACATGTTATACAAAAACAAATCAGTATATGAGTTAGAGCCAACGCTCAATCGTTTATATATTAATCATGTTGATAAGAACCGTAAAGGTCATATAATATGGAATCCATACACAATGAAGGTGAAGGATTATGAAAATAAATTCATGTATTATGAAAACATGGATATGTATAGGGGTCGCAATCTGACCCGCGGGTCAAAACCAACCCACGGGTTGAGGACGGGTCAACGGGTCGTGTTGATGCTTTTCTGACCCGCGGGTCGACCCGTCCAACCATTGACCCGACCCGTTGACCCGTCGTGACCTGTGTATACATATAATATGTATGAGGTACCTATATCTAAGTAGTCAATCTTCTTGTTGGGAAACATAATTAGTTGTCAATATGTCTGCTATAGAACTATAGCATAAAACGTACTTAATTCTTTTTATTGTGGGATTATACTTTATATTCAACAGTATGGGATAAGTAAGCTATAAGCAATATATATGATAGGAGTAAAGAAGTAGCAATAGTGCAATAAGAATATACAATAGAGGGTGGCAGTAAGAGACGCGATTTAACAAAAGACAGAAACGGAATTGAGAAAAGAAAATCGAAGGAAGAAGAAAGAAGTGAAAAGAAAAGGGAAAAGGGAAAAGGATAAGGGGCATATAGGGAAGTCGATTTTCAACCACACTTTAAATATTATGCTTTCTTTAAAGCATGTGAGCCCAAGCGATTTCTTTTGTAATGGCACAGAACCCTTTACCTTTAAGAATAATTACTCAAAACGTAGATGTTGCTAGCACTGCTAGGAATTTGCGTGCCATCATCTTAGAGAGCTATATATATATGGAGTTTTGCACTTCCAGCGCTCAAGTTCAGGCTGATCGACACTTCCTTCATCACTACATTGAAATCAGTCTTGACCCGTCAACCCGAGTTTTGACCCGTCGAGTTGAACGGGTCGGGTCGGGTCAGTGTTTTCTTGACCCGTGGGTCAACGGGTCAGACCCTTGACCCGACCCGACCCGTCCAATTGCGACCCCTAGATATGTATGAGGACTTATACAAAGATGAATTCGAAACGAATTTCAAGATCAGCATACATTTATCTGTTATGCACATAATAGTGGTCAGGATGATATTAAAAAATATACACCAATGGATAAAACAGTAGAGGAACTACAAGAATTAGCTGATACAGAAGAATATATGAAGGAACAAGAAGAAAAACATAATAGTAATAATACACAGAACAATAAACAACATAAACCACCTCAACAAAATAATAGAGGATAGTCAACTGTAAAGGTACCACTATCAGCAGATTGTAGGCATTGGGAAGATGTGTTTAATGATATAAAATGTGATGATGTTGTAAATGATACTACTGATTGGGAAGACCCACCAGAAGATATAGAGAAACATAAATACATAGATGTAAGTACATCTGAATCAGAGAAAAGCAGTGACTGCAACATACCAAATAATATACCAAAACGTAAAAAGAAAAAAAAACACATTAAAAATAAACGGAGAAACAAGCAAATAGTAGAAGAGATACAGCCAAAAGTATATTTTAAAAAGCATAAGGATATTAAACAGGCTATAATAGATGATATAGATATAACAAAACAAACTGACGTCAAAAATAAATCAACAGGTACTAATATAAGTACAAGTATAACTAATGAATGCATAAAACATAAATATAATTGGGCAAGTAAACGAAAGGTTGATGCGGTCAGTTTCAATATAAGATTTTTCAATAAGCAAATAAGTAAGAAATTAATTTAGAGCTGAATACCATGTGTGGCCATATATTCATGTAGCATTTCCTGGGAATTAAACTTATCAACTGTTAACCAACTATTATCCTTTACACTATATCCAACCCACTTAACCTCAAATATGTACTTATTATCAGTATACACATGTCCTACAATTTTCTCAATTTCATATGAATTACTATGTTCTATATTTCTCTGTTCTCTTTGATTTTTTCTCTTGCGTTTAGATGTATTATTTTCAGTTTCGTCCTCACTATCTATAGCCATATCTATTGATTGAGTAATGTTAAGCTGTAGAAATTTCTGCTGCATGTCAACCATTTCGTTATATTCAGTATTTACTTTTTGCTCATTTGAAAATATCAAGTCAAGTTTGCTTTTCTTACTTGGGAATTCAAAATCTTTTCCATACCATAATTTATGATGTGGTTGTACCTCTATATTATACTTATTTACAAATCGCCATATATTAGTAAGAATACAAGCAACACGAAACTGAATATTATAATATCTTATATCAGTTATTTGCAATGCTGCACGATTATTATTAAATCGTTCAAATTTAGAGCCTAACATAGAGAACTGTGCTTCTATTGCTGAACGAAATGATCCAAACTTGTTATTAAAGTATGTCTCATTGATTGTTAACTTTTGTCCTGGTTCTTTTCTTATGGGATGTAAAAAATTACGATCATAAAACTATATCCAGCATCTGTCGCATTATCTTTAAACTTTTGTATAAATAAATTATATCCACCATCCATTCCTAAACAATCTGCCTCACTTATTTTTTTATATAGTTTCATATTAATAAACATAGTACCATCATTTCCGATAGCACATTTTTCAGATACTGAAACATGTGTAATTATTTCATTCATATCCTGTATAACTTGTGTACGTACAGCTAGCCCTTTTAATTTATATGAATATAATTGTGAATGTGACTCATTTGGTTTATAATACTTTATTTTACTATTATGTCCATCAATAAGTAGTGTAACATTCTTAAAACCATCTGGATTGTTTATTATTGTTGATAGAATGCGAATACGTGGTGATGAGAACATACTATCTAGATCTTGTTTTACCTTTTTATTCAATTCATTATAGTTAGTAATCCAGAACCGCTTATATAAATCATAAAATGTTGCATATGGCATAACAGTATGCATATCCTTTCCTGATACACCTGATACTATATGATATAATAATGCAAGTCCTTTTTCAATCTCGCGGTATGGCCCTGGATATTCAATATTTCCATATAAAGCTGTAAGAAAATAAAATATAGGTATAAATCCAAATCTATTAAGTAATACATCCTTTATATCATTTATTGTATTATTCTTCATATCTTTAATAGCTGTTCTATGATTAAATCTATGTTGCATTTCAGGCCAAGATTTATCAAGAAAAGTCCATTTATTATCAATTTTCAATTTCAATATCGAGTTGTTCAATGTGTTGTGTTGTGTTCATTTTTATTTGTTGTTATATACTTTAAACAATCGCTCTTTTTTTTCTCGTGGGAGGTTACCAATATAAATAAAAAAATTCAATTTTTATTATTTTTATTGTAAATTAATAATTAATTCGGCCACTGATGGTTATACCGATCATAGCAATTTTATTATCTATATTACAGCTAGTAGATTATAATTGGTTAGACAACTAATAGTAGGACGCCTATAGGATGATCGTATTTATTTACTATATACATTATGTATATTATTTTAAGATTAATTAATCTTTCTAAACTTATTCTTTCATAACTATTATTACATATTAAAAATAATACTACAAATAATTCATTATATGTAATATAGTATAATATATTATAGCTATGGTTTAGTCTTCTAAGGAGGGGGGATTATTGCCCACTTTTTTCCCTTAACTGACAAAATTGCTTCATTAATTGACCTTTAGTCCAGTCCATTCTATTATTTTAAATCCTGACGACCGGTCTTACGTTGATGTTTTCACCGAACAAGAGCTTCAAGAAATTCAAGATTTAAAAAGTATTGATTTCAATCAAAAACTTCCAGCAAATCTCCATCAATACATTTATTTATTCAGCAAAAAGGTAAATTTTTAGCAGTTGTCATCACTCGTGTTTTAATGGAACGATTGTTAACAATGGGCCGTATCTGTATTTAATATATAGAAATCCCTTTCTGACTTGTACCGTACGACAATAGCAAAATCATTTGATCCATTAACCCAGGGTGATTTATACTGGGCTCGAAAGAGCTTTGAAGAAACTCTTGATCTTTACCACTTCAGGTTTTTTGAAGATGATTATGTGAAGGACGACGTGGAATATCGAATTTGGCCATTTGTTTCAAAATGCTTCGATCCCTCTCCTATCCGTGCTCGTTCGTACGTGTTTGTTCAGCTTTCATATATGTGGTTTGATGGCTATGATGGTTATGGATATTCAATGTCATTATTGTTTTTTTATTTATAATTAGGGGGAAACGAAAGTCACAAGCTTCATCCGATCGACACAACCGGAAACGCTCTTTATCGTCAATTGAACCAACTGCTCGACACATTACTGGCATGCAGCCCGATATGAAGTGTCTTTATTTGAATTATGAAATTGGTTTTACTGAAGTTGGTTTAAAAGATGATGGAGAAAACGGCACCAAAGAGTTATATGAGAGTGGCATCAAGGCGCCCAAGATGCTAAAAGACTTTTTTGTCTCTATCATAAATGAACGTCCTTCCATTATCCATTCTATTAAAACAGGAGCCTTCATCATTTCTGGTATGTGTCATACACCAAACGTGGTATACGGCATTCATGTTTCAATTATTAACTAAAAACAATAATTGGTTTCAGGTTTACATATGTCGCCGATTATAATGGATTGTCCCGCTGGCTCCATTTGCCGTATAACTCAATCCGAACGAGCCTCGTTCCCCCTTGCTCCAACAGTTTGCGCCACCCAGCTTATTCCTATAATTGAACTTGTGTATCGCACACGTCTTTATTTGATGGAGACTGTGGAAGCTATTGATGGATGTAATCAAGTGGTGTCACTAGGCAAAAAAAACAAAAAGTGAGTTTTAGTTCCACCTTGTATCACAAGTCCTGAAAGCTCATCATCATCCACTACAGTGACTACAACAACAACCGAAATTGAAGATGAAAATCAAAACGAAAATGGCTATAATTCATCTGCCTCCAGCCAGCCCTCAACAAAAATACAAAGACAATAAGGATCTGATGGGGACCGGCTATGGTTATGATGATTTTAATGCGATCTAGTAACCCTAGATGACTTATTAGTTAAGATATACCAGGATAGCCAAATTAATTTTTATTGAAATAATTCATGCATGAATGTCTTGGCATGCATACATTTAAATTTTTGAAAAAAATAAAAATTGAATTTTTTTTTAATATAAAAATAACACCACAGAATATAAAGCAAAGTATATTTGTTATATTTTTTATTTTTATTACTTCAACAATCGACATGAACCAACTCAACCTTCTCGCATTCTTAGCTATTATGGCTGAATTTGTTCCTATTTTAGGAATTACATTGACACTCTTAATTGAAAGAGCAAAACACCTTGCTGAAAACCATCAGCATATTGAGTATGAACCTCTTATCACACAACTGAGGTCAGAACTCGAAAAAGACCTTACACAGGCTAAAGTAGATAAAAAAACTAAAGATAATGCATGCAATAAAATAATTGGAAGAATTCGAGAATATGTAAGATTCCTCAAATCCTCAAATCCTCAATTTTCCGATGCAATGTTAGAGGGTAACACCTCTGGTGCAGATTCCTCGCAGGGCGGCAAAGAATTCCGATTCCAAAACACTAAAGGGCTGTTCACATATATTTGTAAGGACTTCTATTTAACAAAAGAGCAAATCATGGAATGGTTTATAAAACATGAACGTATTGGTTATCGAATTGAAAAGGCAATTGCATGTGATGAAATTGCACCAGAAACCAATGAGAAACATGTACACATATGGATACAAATGGATGAGCGGTTCGACACAAAAACAGCACGTAAATTCTTTACTATTGATGGTGTTACTCCAAATATTAAACCAGGTGGTAATCCACAAAAGTCTATTAGCTATTGTATGAAAGGAAAAGATTATATTTGTTATAATATGGATCCAAATTATGAAATTAAAACCAGAAAAATGCACCAACAGTTACTTGGATATCAATTAATTACTAAGCAGCTTAATATGCGGAAGGCTACCGAAATATATCCAGAATTACTATGGAAATATGATACTGTAAAATCAAATTTAAATTCTTACTTTCATGATGCAGATATGGAAAATAACCCTGGAAATAAATTACATATGTGGTCTATGTTTGGTATTGAAACAATGTTTGGTGGTAAAAATAAGATACCACAATACTGGATTGTAGGTAAGACATATAGCATTGATGTATTAGAACAAGGTGGCCATCGAGCATATCTAATGAATAATGAAAATGATTGGTCAGATTATAAGGATGATGATTATGATTTTATGTATAATGAAGAAACAGGTTCTGATTTCAAATTAACATTTTTAAGCCAAATGTTAGAAGGAACGTGGTTAAAACTTAATGGCAAATTCACAAAGTCAATAACTAAAAAGAAAAATATGCCAATAATACTGAATAGTAACTATATGCCGCACATGTTATACAAAAATAAATCAGTATATGAGTTAGAGCCAACGCTCAATCGTTTATATATTATCTATGTTGATAAGAACCATAAAGGTCATATAATATGGAATCCATACACAATGAAGGTGAAGGATTATTAAAATAAATTCATGTATTATGAAAACATGGATATGTATGAGGACTTATACAAAGATGAATTCGAAAACGAATTTCAAGATCAGCATACATTTATCCGTTATGCACATAATAGTGGTCAGGATAATATTAAAAAATATACACCAATGGATAAAACAGTAGAGGAACTACAAGAATTACAGTAGCTGATACAGAAGAATATATGAAGGAACAAGAAGAAAAACATAATAGTAATAATACACAGAACAATAAACAACATAAACCACCTCAACAAAATAATAGAGGATGGTAAACTGTAAAGGTACCACCATCAGCAGATTGTAGGCATTGGGAAGATGTGTTTAATGATATAAAATGTGATGATGTTGTAAATGATACTACTGATTGGGAAGACCCACCAGAAGATATAGAGAAACATAAATACATAGATGTAAGTACATCTGAATCAGAGAAAAGCAGTGCCTGCAACATACCAAATAATATACCAAAACGTAAAAAGAAAAAAAGACACATTAAAAATAAACAGAGAAACAAGCAAATAGTAGAAGAAATACAGCCAAAAGAATATTTTAAAAAGCATAAGGATATAAAACAGGCTATAATAGATGATATAGATATAACAAAAGAAACTGACGTCAAAAATAAATCAACAGGTACTAATATAAGTACAAGTATAACTAATGAATGCATAAAACATAAATATAATTGGGCAAGTAAACGAAAGGTTGATGCGGTCAGTTTCAATATAAAATTTTTTAATAAGCAAAAATAAGTAAGAAATTAATTTAGAGCTGAATACCATGTGTGGCCATATATTCATGTAGCATTTCCTGGGAATTAAACTTATCAACTGTTAACCAACTATTATCCTTTACACTATATCCAACCCACTTAACCTCAAATATGTACTTATTATCAGTATACACATGTCCTACAATTTTCTCAATTTCATATGAATTACTATGTTCTATATTTCTCTGTTCTCTTTGATTTTTTCTCTTGCGTTTAGATGTATTATTTTCACTTTCGTCCTCACTATCTATAGCCATATCTATTTATTGATTAATATTAAGCTGTAGAAATTTCTGCTGCATGTCAACCATTTCGTTATATTCAGTATTTACTTTTTGCTCATTTAAAAATACTAAGTCAAGTTTGTTTTTCTTACTTGGGAATTCAAAGTCTTTTCCATACCATAATTTATGATGTGGTTGTACCTCTATATTATACTTATTTACAAATCGCTATATATTAGTAAGAATACAAGCAACACGAAACTGAATATTATAATATCTTATATCAGATATTTGCAATGCTGCACGATTATTATTAAATCATTCAAATTTAGAGCCTAACATAGAAAACTGTGCTTCTATTGCTGAACGAAATGATCCAAACTTGTTATTAAAGTATGTCTCATTGATTGTTAACTTTTGTCCTGGTTCTTTTCTTATGGGATGTAAAAAATTACGATCATAAAAACTATATCCAGCATCTGTCGCATTATCTTTAAACTTTTGTATAAATAAATTATATCCACCATCCATTCCTAAACAATCTGCCTCACTTATTTTTTTATATAGTTTCATATTAATAAACATAGTACCATCATTTCCGATAGCACATTTTTCAGATACTGAAACATGTGTAATTATTTCATTCATATCCTGTATAACTTGTGTACGTACAGCTGGCCCTTTTAATTTATATGAATATAATTGTGAATGTGACTCATTTGGTTTATAATACTTTATTTTACTATCATGTCCATCAATAAGTAGTGTAACATTCTTAAAACCATCTGGATTGTTTATTATTGCTGATAGAATGCGAATACGTGGTGATGAGAACATACTATCTAGATCTTGTTTTACCTTTTTATTCAATTCATTATAGTTAGTAATCCAGAACCGCTTATATAAATCATAAAATGTTGCATATGGCATAACAGTATGCATATCCTTTCCTGATACACCTGATACCATATGATATAATAATGCAAGTCCTTTTTCAATCTCGCGGTATGGCCCTGGATATTCAATATTTCCATATAAAGCTGTAAGAAAATAAAATACAGGTATAAATCCAAATCTATTAAGTAATACATCCTTTATATCATTTATTGTATTATTCTTCATATCTTTAATAGCTGTTCTATGATTAAATCTATATTGCATTTCAGGCTAAGATTTATCAAGAAAAGTCCATTTATTATCAATTTTCAATTTCAATATCGAGTTGTTCAATGTGTTGTGTTGTGTTCATTTTTATTTGTTGTTATATACTTTAAACAATCGCTCTTTTTTTTCTCATGGGAGGTTACCAAGATAAATAAAAAAATTCAATTTTTATTATTTTTATTGTAAATCAATAATTAATTCGGCCACTGATGGTTATACCGATCATAGCAATTTTATTATCTACAGTTGTACCCCGGTTTTTGCAACCCCTGGTTTTGCAATTCCTCGTATATCTGCAACTTTTTTTGAAAAATCCAAAAAAAACTTAGTAGTTTCGCAAATTTGCAACTTGCAAATGAGTTTATACGATTTGCACGTTATCGGGGTGAAAACAGCTTCAATTTTTGCAATATCAGCTGAAGGAAGCATCCGTTGCGTGTTATCGAGGAATAAGATGAAACGGTTGCGGCAAGATAAATATGTAGATATGAAGATGTATTTGTTGTCAAAATAAAAAATTACTATCTGGTAGTTGAATGGCCAGTAGAATTGGGACACGTATATAGCACTTATTGGGTTGAATCCACAAAAGAAATGATGAAAACATAAGAAAAAGCAAAATGTTTGCTCAAATGAGCTTTCAACTACATATTGAAGAAGTCATCAAGGGATGATTGTCGGGAGAATGATTACTGTCTGAGACTCTCCTGAATCCTGCGCAAAGACTTCTTTAAGTCGTAGTAATCGATGTCATCCAAAAAGCTCAAAACTCCTGCAATCGCAACCTGTTTTTCTTTCGACGTTAGCTCTGGAATAGCTGAATCGTCGCTTTCGTCCACCGTATCAGTCTGCTTCTCTATCTCTACACCTTTTACTAGATCGAGGATTTCATCATCGGTCATGGAAGCAGGGGCAGCTTGTTTCTCGTAATCCGGCTCAGCCAAATCGCCAACTTGTTCTGTATCTTCAATGTCGTCGCCATAAATACCTCGGATATGGTTGATAAGCTCACTTTCAAGCGACTGTTGTTCCCTAACGATATCGGCTACTGGATGCTCCATTCGCACGTCAAATGCATCAGGGAGTGCTTTTATAAAGCAGTGGCGCACAGTATCCACTCTGACATGTTTTGTCCAGGCTAGTTGCGCCCATTTCATCGCAGTCAGTATGGAGACTTTGAACAACTGGCTGTTGCCGCTCACCAGAACACGACCATCGAGACTGATGGTTTGCTCATACACTCGT